TGACTGACTGACTGACTGACTGACTGACTGACTGACTGACTGACTGGTTGACTGACTGATTGACTGACCGATTGACTAACTGGCTGAATGACTAATTGACTGAGAACTGAAGACTGCACATTGCGAAGTCTTCAGGGTTAATTTAAAATAAGCTTCCATTTATTAACGATAAAATTTAGGTACGTATAAAAAAAAGCACGCTCCGAGAAAACTCGGTCTGCAGAACTCGACGTGCGGGACACCGGCCGGCCAAGACAAGCTTCCATCTTTAATCTCTTCAGTTTATAAAATCCTTGTCTTTAAAATGTCTACTGTTATTATCAACCTGTTGATGTTATTGTTGCCATTAATCAATTTACTGTTATTGGATTTACATTTGCGGATTAAAACATGTCATCGGCTGAGATTAAAGATAAAGTCGATCACGACCGACAGAAAAGAAGCTTATAGTTCGCCTTGTCTTGTCACGTAGGGCCTTTAGTTCTTGCTTGTAATTAAAATGTGCTTTTGTTTTCCAAGAAGATGATCCCCGGCGCGATAATGGGAGAATTTCTCGAGTATAGCAAAGACAGAGCCATAGCTAGAAAAATATTATGATTAAGGTAACGCTCATGAAATAGTTATGATTGCGGCAATGTCCATGAAAAATTATGATTGAGGCAATGTCCATGAGACAATTATGACTGAGGCAATGTCCATGAAAAAAAGAAAAAAATTATTGACTGAGCTCTTGTCCATGGTTAAGTTCTCTTCCATGGTATTTAGGGTGTTCATGCTGACTGATAAACAACAAAAAACGAAAAACGTGACTGAGGTTTGCCTGTTACTATAGCTACGGCCCCGAAAGATTGGCAATACTGAAACGATTATATCAAGGTAAAAAAACCACCACTTATATTGGCGATGGTAAATCATTCGTTCATCAGTTTTAGAAAAAAACATGTTTCTAAAATCTGATGTTAAGTTGAAAGGAGTAACATTTTTAAAAGTCATTGATCATTGCAATGCAATGATCAATTTCTTTGCGCATTTTGAACCCCATAAATCTTTATATATATCCATTCTTTCTTGAAAGTTGTACAAATAAACCCCATTATAAGGTATAACAGGAAACTTTAGGTAACCTTAAATTCAGCAATTAACTAGTTTCGAGTTCATTCTACTTACCTAATTATAGTAGAGCTTCGCAAAGTTGCGCCGGGTAGAACTGAAAGCCTGCCGCGTCCTTACAATGTCTCGTCTCGTCACTGAGGCTGGAAGAAAATGAGGATTTGCAATTGAATGCCTAGGTAATTGCAATAAAAATAGCTACCTAAGACGCCTTAAATAATAACATAAGCATTAGCATTAACATTAGTCAGCAAACCAGCTAAGGAAATTCAACTTCCTGCGTTAGAAATATACAGCTTGTGTCGCGCCGAAATTTCTTAATCCGTGGTCTAATATAGTCTAAATATAGACCCCGCCTAAAAAGGGCAGTGCAACAAAATTGAAGACATGCATGCACCGAGATTTCAGCGCTTTCTCCAAAAACCCCGCCACTAAAGAGCTAGGCGAATTGTAGGCTAGAGCTGTTTCAAAACTGATAACTACTTTGATTGCCCAAATCTGGCTTTATTAAACCGGACTAAATGCTTTTTAACCTGAGCTTTTTCACCGGAATAACATGGCCCTGCTAATTGGACGCCTTATGTCAACACACGACCCCCGGCCTTCAGCAATTCAAGCCAAAATAGTAGTTCTATTGACAGCAATATTTAATTTTAATGTCAATCTGAAGAATTACACGCATATTGCCAAAACAATATAATCTAGCTTCTGTTTTTAACTAACCTCGTCTTGGAGTTTTAAATTTTGCTAGTTTGCTCTAACAATTTAATTATACTGTACAGAGCAGCAAGTAGGTCTGTGGGCTTAGATGCCGATAGGTTTTCCGCTCCGGATTAACTATTGTAAGCTTCATAGCCATGATCAGTATGAACTAAAAATATAGAAAATGAGCGCAGCTTTTCGGATTTGTTATATTATGCTCCTGGCAATCGAGACACGATATCTTCAGGGTGGGTGGTACGTACGTTGGTGGAACTGTCCCTGATTATGATGAAATCATTCTCCAAGAACTCAAACAAATTGCTCCGCCCTTTGATTACGGTGGAATCCCGATTTTTCGAATTCTCAAGAGAAACGAAAATTTGGTTCGAAAAATCGGAGAGTTCGAGAAATCGGGGGTAAAATTAGTGTTTGACTGAGGAGGAAAAACGACTTTTGGTTCGAGGTATCGGGAGTTTCGAAAAATTGAGGGTTCAAAAAATCGGAATTCTACTGTATCATAACTCTCCTGCCTTAATCGCCTGTTCCATACACGTTGTGAGTCGTTATATTTGTCATTTCGTATTTATAGGATAAATATCATATCCGGACAATGTAATCGCTAGGGAAAAACAAAAAAACAAGTCGAGATTGTTCTGACTATAATAAGCATTCACTTTAAGTTAGAATCTTGGGATAACCTTAAAATGTAAGACGTAACACCTCCTGGCGTATGGGACGAATACACCTCCTGTTAGGGGGTGGACCATTTCACTTTTGAGGGGGGTGGCGGTGGGTGGGTGATTTATTTTAGGCATGAAATTTTTTTAACCCTTTCATGCGGTAGGATTTTTTTTTTATCGGGGCGTGTGTATGCATCAGCGATATTTTTTTCTCGGTGTAACATGACTTTTTCCGGCTTGACAATCATGAACATGCCTGAAATTGTTTTCGACAGTGGAAATACTTCAGTCAAGACACAGACAGCCTGTTAATCGACTGTCTGGCTACCCCCTGGTCTGCCTCAGTAATGAGGTGTTTACGTTTGCGATTTGAGATGAAGAATGCTCGTAATTGGCGGAAGTGTGAACGAGAATGAAGTCTCTGTTATACGAGACAAAATATTCTAAGTGACCGCTAGCTTTGAAACTTACTTTCTTACGTAACGCCCTACGCCCTTCGGCGCGCTAAGGACAGCAACAAAGCTCCTCCACTGCTGTCTTTTCCATGTACCTGCCAGGCTTTGAAAGTTAAAACGAAAAGTCTTCACTGAGAAAATCTTTCGTTCAACCAACTTCTCGCAGAGGTACATTTACTGAGTTCGTATCACTATCACTCAGTGCACGACAATCATTTTTGTCCAAAGCTTTCGACTAGCAGGCAGGAATTATTAATTAAGTCATTATATGAAGAAATAAGACGATATTACCTTGACAATAATGTGAAAGTCACTATGTTCTCCTATCAGCGTATGTGGACTCTGATATATAAAATAAAGCTTAGGGTTTTTTTTAGCTACGGACGGTAGCCAAATTTGTCTTGAATGAGTTCGTGATCTTTACACCGTAAACAAACGTTATGTATATTGAGAAAGCGCAAACATAAAAGCAAATGAGCCATGAATTTCTTTCACAAGAAGAAAGAAAGGTGCGGTGCGAGCGTGTTTTTAGAAGCTGAACGACGCCGCAAGTGCGTATATCATAAGACTCATGATACTATCAAAAGATCCTTTTAAGGAAAAACAAACATGTCAAATGGGGTCGGCTTAAGAATATCTTTTGTTATGAGCTCCATCCGGCTAGGCGGGAGCTTGGCACTTCAGAGAAAAGGGAAGTTTAGGCTGTGCAATATCAAATATCGCTAGGATTTGTTTACGCTAATATTTTGGCAATTTGTCTAATGTGTTTGCTTTGGCGCAACGGACTTTGTATCTGTATGTGCGGGTCTTTTTCTTACGTGCGTAATCTTTTCCGTACCGATGTTGTGCCGTCCCCCACGGCCAAGCAGAGGAAAATCTGGATACAGCTATCACTGAAATATGCTTTACGAACCAACTGACTTTACGACGTTCAGGAATTCTTGTACCTTCTAAAGGTTTCTTAAGGCTGGAGTTTGTTTAAGTGTTGCTATATCGTTAGCACAAAATAAACTTAAACTATATGAAAAGACTAGCACTGCAACATCATGTGGATTGGCAAATAAAAGCTAGAAATCGATTAAGTTTGTTGTATGTAGCACTGCGATGCTTTATTGATATACTGGAAACGAACAAATAATAGTATATTTGGAACAGAAATAATCAGACAGAGTCGACTGTACATGTATTTCAATAAAATTTCTGATAATAAACAATTATTGGATGAGTTTTTCGTGATATCCGGAATAATAAACTAATCAAGGTCGAGGTAAGTGTTATCAGCCGAAGTGATAGCACTAACCGAGACCTTGATTATTCCGGATATCACAAAAACCGAATCTAATAATTGTTTTATTATACATTGTTTTACAGATTGATTCACTAATCTGCTAGCAGATTAGTGAATAATCTGTAGGTTGCACTGTTTCCCAGAATTAACTGTAGGCTTGTAGCCAATGAGAGCTAATGAGAAGACAGATGGTGATGTATAATAATTAAGGTTATTTGTCAGGGAAACATGCGACCGTTGATGGGGGCTATTTCTGTTAGAGAAACGCTCCAACGGTTAGTTCGAGTTCCAGGAATTTGTACTGCTTTGCTCGGTTCTAAGGACAAAAGAATTGCAGAGCCAGAAGGAAAGATGAAATATGAAATTATAATGAAAACTAGGAAAATGTATCGGTTTGGGCCTGGGGGAGGGAAGATATTCTCATTGCCTAAAAGTACTGGGAACAAGTTACCCATAATGCAATTGTCCATTCATCGGTAAGTGTCTAGTCTCGCTTAGCATCACGGTCCAGCTCAAATTTTGTCAAAGTCATTCCAACATGGCGGCCGGTACGGCTGTAATGCATTTGCCAAGCACGAGAAGCACCGTTAAGAAGGAAGAACCTGCTCGTAGAGTCCAGAAAATAAAGGCAGATGAGGTAAGGGAACTTACCATGAGAAAACAGCAGGAATTAGTGTCGGTCTTTAACGAAGAAACTTCAAAAGTTGATCATGTGGTTGTACATGACGACATCTTTTGATCGAAAACTATGACTTTTTTGAAAAGCGAATTTCGCTTAACTCTGCACGTCACTCATTTGAAAGGACTTTCACTATGCAGTTTTCTTCCGTATTGACTTTTATAAGTAAAAGTGAGATTTGGAAGGTTCGAGATTGACATTAGTCCATTCGGTCTTTAGCTTTTAATTTCGTTGAAGCTTCCGCTAGAAGACCCGTAGATCCTTGAACTTAATGAAGTTTGAGTTTGTTTGTCCACTAATTCTTTATATAACTTCCCACGGTAACGAACTGTGTACCTTGTGAACACCAAGCTCTATGACTTGTTTATTTTTAATGATGTATTTCTGTACTTGTGATAGCGTTCTGTATTCCTTTGTTAAGGACTTCTCAAACTCTTTCTAAGTTCTCGTTTCCTGAACTCTGTGGTTATCAGGTTATATGTTCATGTTCAGTGTTTTAACTTACCTTTCAAACTATTGATGTTTTCTGTCCAATACAAAATCAATTAGCTAAGTATGGCTTTGGAACAATTTGGAACAGACTTTCAGTTCCACTTTATTGCTGTAGCTTGTGCATTAATCAATGTTCAGCCCAAGGGAGTGGAGGAGACCACAGCCATATGTGGGGTATTTGACTTTTCAGAAGAATTTTTGATCAAAATCCCCATCACAGGGTCCAAAAAATGCGTAAAATCAAATCAAATATCCCTAACTTGGTGTAGTGTCATGGCGTGTTGCCCTGCAGGCATCCTTTAATTTCAAGAGAGACAATTTATTTTTCCTCGTCAATATATTTCTCCTTGTCAATGGAATGGTTGGTTTATTTGTGGAAATTAATACAAAACAATGTGGCAGTATTATATCACTAAGTTTGAGAAAAAGAAACAAAGCAAGTGCCTACCTCCTAAACACCTGTGTTCTTCTCTATGAGAATTATTTCAAGATGACTGCACAGATGAGCACATGTGATTATGTGATTGGGCTCCATTCCTCCTCACAAAAAAAATGAAACATCCCCACCCTGGGACCCAGACTCTTAGTCAAATTCCTGAGGGTGGGGAAGGCGATCAAAGTCAAATGCCCCACATATGCCCAGGGTCCCCCCTGGGGCTTAAAAGTGAAGACGCATACAAATGCATCAGGTGCTTGAAGTTTCAAATTTTCTTAAATTCATGAATTCAATAGGGAGTTTAAGCAAATCACTACGGCTGGTGCTACTACGGCTGCGGTGACTGAAAAGGTCTAGGGAGAGTACGTCTCGGTGGTCTGCCAAATTTTAAGTTTAGCGAGTAAAGCAAAATACAAAGATGAAAGAAACATTGGCTAACCAAATGGCTTCACTCAAAGGACGATGGCCGTTATTTGGTCGGATGAACAGATTATTTATGAGTGAAAGCAAATGCCATACACTTTGTACCATAACAATTTGATGGATGAAATATATAATTTCAGAGACAAATATCTCAAAGAATATCGAGTAAAGAACACAAATATATCAATACTCAAACAAGCAAAATAGTATCGTATAGTTATCCAGATATAAAACATCTTCACTATACTCTCAAAGCAAACTTAACAGTAGAAAATTAACCTCGCGCTCAACACGAATATTTCACTTGACTCGCTTCGCCATTCCAACACGTTTGCCAAAACTTATCGCAAATCCAGGATACGGATTTACAAGCTTATGATACGCAAACATGGCACAATCTTTGACTTAAATTGACTTTAAAGGACATAGTACCCAATGGAATTCTTAAAATGCCGAGATGTCCGTTGAAAAGGGTCAGAGAAGCGAAATAAACCCGACGTAGTAGCCACTACGGCAAAACATCCCGACTC